AATGGAGAATTTGTCCTCTAGTCTAAGTCAGTGTATTGGTACTCCCTTAGTGCGGTGCGAAATCACTAGTTCGTGGCCAAGACTGGCGCAGGCGAGGACACCCCGGGGTGTTTTCGTGGGAGGGCCGCCTTTGATTGGCTCACTCTGTGAGGCATGGCATCCCACATTGAACAACGGTTTCGCAGACGGCTTTCGCACGCAGCGACGCAGCGACGAATGCGCTGTCTGCACAGTCGGCTTGCCGGAAGCACACAGTGACTCCCGCATCGGCTCTCGCACACGCCCTCCCAGCCTTCAAGTCGTGCCGATGGGCCCCAAGGTTTCCTCTCGCCTTTGGATGTTCCTCCCCTTCCACCAAAAAGCACCGGCCAGCCAGTCCAAAACATCGACCACCTCCCCCAGAAGCCCCAACCAAGGAGTTACTTGGGCTCGAGGTACTCTCCTCTTCGTCCTGTCCTCACTCCCGCCGGCAACCTGGCCTGTCGCTGTCGCTGTCTACAGTCACTGGGGTCCACTGTCGGGATCAATTCGAGATATCTCGTCCAGCTCTGATCGGCTGCTCTCAACACCAAGGTAAGGTTGCGCAAAGGGGGAAGAGGAAAAGCACTCGTCGACCGGAGTCGTGTCCTGCCGAGTCCTGTCGTGCCGACATTGTCCTCAACCGCGTCGCCCACCTGCGCCTGGGCTCTGCGCAGCGCAACTCTTGTCTTCGGCAACCAACGCCAGCATTGCCACCCACGGGCCCATCTGTCGCCCCGTCAGCTCACCAAGGCCCCTTTGGCACCGTCGCCGCCTCGGACGCCGGCGCCCCTATGCTGCCCTTATACATCAATAATGCTCTTGGCTAGGCTTTCTGGCTACACGGAAAAAGAATTCTGTCGCTGACCTTGCAGATTGCGCCGACCGACGGCTGGCCATCAAGCTTGGCTTCCCACGCACACGACACGCACACGACGCACACGCACCGCAAAAGCACGCTTTTCACTCACCACTCACCACTCAACTCATCACACTCTGCTTCACACCTCTCACACGCACCCAAGCACTGGAGCCCACTTTATCACGTCGCCCACACCATCAGGCCACTCACCAGCCTCCACCACTGAATTCCTCCAGACGGCCGACGCCCGGATCCGTCAATTACCTTTGCCTGCCCAGCTTCTCGAGGCGCAGAAACTTGTATTACGCAAACCCGTGGCTCTGCCCTTACCACCCAGACCCGAGCCTCGGACCACCTGTGTGACTTTGACTTGCTTCACACGAGGAGCTTGCTACGCGATCTGGTCAGGAGAAGTCTCTTGCAGTACACCGAGGGCTCTCGAACCAGCCCTTCTAGCTGGACAATACGTACATCGCCCGTGAGTCTTGCATGAGTTTTTTGTCTTCTTTTCTTTTCCGCTACATGCCTTGTCCACCTTGCGCGCACTCGACGGCCCTTTTGCAGGGAGCATCGCGCCCCGTCAGCGGTGTCAGCTTGGCTTTGCCCCGTCTCTCGTCTCAATGCCGCCTACCGTGGTCAAGCGCGTCGACAGCCTCTCAAAAGCTGGGCTACACCAGCCGCGTCGCTGCAGCTGGACCCATGCCCGTTGCCAGATGGCTGGCCACCTCTCGCAAACAAAGAACTTGTCCTGCCTGCGCTCGCCTTCGCCCTTCTCTGGTCCTTTTATTCTCGCTACCTCTTGTCCAGAATTGACGCTGACGATATTTGTTCCTGTCGCATCCAGATCATGCAGCAGTGGCAGGTCGGCCCTGTGCCGGAGTATGTTTACGCCAACTCCACCCATCCCCCCAACGACATGCAGTAAGTACCGACAGCAAAGTCTTTTGTCCCTTTTGTCCCTTTGTCCCAGGTACCTCCAAACTTTGACTACCACGGTCACTGTCATTTGCATCAGCCATCCCACTGGCCTTGCCCTTGGAGATTTGTTCTTCCTTGCTTGGTGCCCGCGTCTAGTGGTCGGGTCGCTTTTGCTTCTGGCCTCGCCCGTGAGGCCGCGACGCTCGCTGTCGTCGTCAAACATGACATGAGTGTTATAGCAAATGTCGTGACGCTGCGCCCATGCCGTCCTTTTGGGGGGGGCTTTCTCGACCCTCATTCTCCTAATCCCTCCCCTCGTCCTGTTTGGGAAGGATGGATGGAAAATGTTGTTGATATGCCACCTCGATGGTAGCGCTTTGCCCAGCAATAAAATTGCTGACCACTATGTGCAAACAGCAATCACCCCTACCAACCCGATATGGCACGCCGAACCGAGCAGCGCATGGAATTCCCGTACGGAACTCCCCAGTCGGGAATAACTCCCCAGCAGCAGCAGCAGCAGCATCACCCTACTCCGGTCCAGCCGCCGATGAATGTCCCTCAACCTCCAAATGCCTCAGCTGCCCAACAGCAGGCCGCGACTCCCACGCCAGCACAACAAAGTCGCCAGCGAAAGCGACCTGCTCCAAATACTGCCCCATCGCCGGCTACTGTAACGCCTGCTGCTCCTGTTGCTGGAGCTGGAAGCCAAGTTCAACCTCCGGCTCCCACTCCTCCCACTCCTCAGACTGCTTCCTCGACATTGCAGCCACAGGCTCCAACAGAAGATGCCAAGACGACGCCTGTTCAGCCGCCTCCGGCCAAAAAAAGCCGTACTAATACCCCATGGACGCCGCAAGAAGAACTGCGGCTCAAACAAATGCGAGACTCGGGGAACAGTTGGGCAGAAATTGCCAAGGTATGTCACTCTGGCCTTGTGACAGAGCAATCGAAGCTCATCGTTGTTACAAATAGACATTTCCCACCAGAACAGAAGGTTCGGTCAAGAAGCATTGGTACAAGGTTTGTTTCTCCCTGGCCCAATGGGAAAATTGAGGGCATTGTTTTTGTATTAATGCTTTAACCAGGATATGCACTATGCCGAGTTTGCAGAAGATGAAGTACGTTTGCATATGGTCCCAGTATATATGTCACATGTAATAACCGAAGCAAACAGAGCCAGGCCTTGTTGAACGCAATCAAGGAATACGAAAACAACAAGTGGAAAGTGATTGGCCAAAAGGTCGGCAAGCCGGCAAAGGTACGACATACCGACTCGATACATGACCCCAGCGCCGCCTTGCTAACAGATTGAATTAGGCATGTGAACAATATGCCAAAGAGCACTTCCCTGGTAAGTGATGGATCACAGTTTCTTGTTATGACTGTCTGTAGTGTCGCAGCCAATCTAATGCTGTCGCAGATCTGTTCGCAAACGGCAAGGGCAGGTAGTGACCCTCCTTTCCCCTCTCGCCGTGTCAATTTATACAGTGCTTGCTTGATCAAATCTGGGCAACCTTCTTTCTAGCGGCTAGCTATGGTGTTTTTCTTTCTCCGTGTATTTTGGTCGAACAATCGTTTTGCAACGCCAAGCGGTATACGATACTGGACTCTCGCGAGTCTCTAATTCGCGATTAATCTGCCAAGGGGCCGTCAGGAGGCAGTGGCAGTGTGTATTCTGACACACTGTACATGAATGATCTGTGCAGCTGCAACATGAAACCGTTGCGATGATGACCGGGGTGGGAATGGGCAGGACAAATACGGCCAAGAGATGCATCGCGCATGTCTGTCTTGTTTGAAGTGGGGTTTTTATTTCCTGTGTATCTCTTGGGTGTTCACATTGTTCGCTCTCCTTTGTTGTGGTCGTGTTGCTCAATATTGGTATGCTGCTTCTGTACCTAGATGCTTGTTGTATGTTTTCGAGTTGAGTCTGGAATTGGTCAAGGCTTTCGGGTGGGATTCTGCTTTCGCTTGGAGTAGGAGAACACGGTGGCAGAGAATGGGCTTCACAGTCTGGCGGCCTTGGTGCTGGGATATAAGTCGGGTTTCGATTAATGGCGGCCGCCTTGTGTGGGAAGATTCAGGTTTGAGTTCGTAACAACTTGAAGCGACGGGCACGTGTGTGTTGTGCTTGTCTATTGGCGACAAGGGGGTTGAAGGGAAAAAAAACGTATCAAGTCGATGGTAGCTTTATTTTTATTCCAGAGGATAAGAAGCATGATGGACGAGGCAAATCCTTTGCGGGGCTTGACAGCCATCCTGGATACTTTGCGAGGATACCATCTTCGAACTTTCTATCCGGAAAACTAGAACCAACTTCCTTAGTTATACCCCTATTCATTTATTTGCACATTGGCACGGTTACGTGAAGGATACATTCATGTCGGTGGGAAGTCATCAGCAAGCTACTTGCTCGCCCTGCGGCCATGCAAGTGTAGATCTATATCCAGCTGGTGGTGACTTGTTCTCGAAGTACTCCTACAAGTTACAACCACGCCATGCATCTTGCCGCGATCCCGGGCCCCACCGCAAGGGGTACATGAAACCTCGTAGGACCGTCCGTGACGAGGTACCAGTTACTCGACGCGGCAAGCGGGAAGCGGGAAGCGATCCACTCCTGAAGCTTCTAACTGAGTTGCAGAGTATCGATAGCATGTGCATTATTGCAGGTCTTTGGGCCGGCATGCCTGGCAGGAGGGGGGTTACTCTGCCTGGGGCGTCGAACAATGCTTGAGAGTCTACCCACCGGGGGTTTTTATGCCGTCAAGTAACTTTCGCACTCCATTAGGGTTGCTGGGACTAGAGACGAGCCTTCGGCATGATAGCTCTACGCCTGGTCCTACGTATTCAATTGAGGTATTGGTTAGTCAACTCTGTGCAAAAGTGCAGCACAAGAAATCATTGCTTAACCCGTCACATAAAACATTGCTACTTAAGTAGCTTCAGAAGGAAACCTAGCAGAAACCCAATCATCTCAAGTCACTCCTGCAATACACAGAGAGGAACGGCAGGACGGTAGGACGAGGTATAGGGTAGGCATATTTGCTGATGTTGATCATTCATGTCACTGTGCGACCCACTCTGCGGGAGGCCAATTTTTTTTTTCAGCGATATCTGATAACGATCTCTGGAGCAAACTCGCCGCAGCAACTCAGCACCCTCCGGCCTCTAGAATCACCATCCCAATACGCACGCAACCATGAAGCGTAAGCTCGATCAGAATGGTGTGCCGTCGCCGGAACCTGAAAACCAAAAACGCACGAAATCGGAGTCAGCAGGGGACCAAGAGCTCACATTTGCCGATCTTGGATTGGACCCTCGTCTTGTCCAGGCGGTTGCCGAACAGACCTTCCTCAAGCCTACTCTTGTTCAACGCAAAGCCATACCGCTAGCGCTCAATGGAAAAGATGTTCTTTGCAAGTCCAAGACTGGCTCAGGAAAGACTGCGGCTTATGTTCTTCCAGTCTTGACTGCCATCCTCAAGAAGAAAACCGTATGTTGTCCTGGCGTGATTGCCATCTTGTCGCTTGATCTCCTTGTAACACAGCCCTAGGCCGAAACTGTCGCTGCGACGTCCGCATTGATATTGGTACCAACTCGAGAACTGGCCGACCAAGTCTTCAAAGTGATCGAACAATTCTCCTCGTTTTGTGCCAAAGATGTTCGCGCTGTCAAGCTGACGGATAAACTGTCCGACGCCGTACAGAGGTCTCTACTGTCTACGAATCCCGACATTGTCATATCTACCCCCGCACGAGCCTGGTACAATGTGAAATCAAACCAGTCCTCTCTCTCCCTCGACAAACTTACCCACCTCGTATTGGACGAGGCTGATCTGCTACTATCATATGGATATGACGAGGACCTGGAGAACCTGTCTTGGTCAATACCTAAGGGAATACAGACTATCATGATGAGCGCCACTCTTACAGCAGAAATCGAGTCGCTCAAGAAAATTTTTTACCGCGACAACGCTCCAACTCTACTTGACCTTGAAGAGCCCGATGCCGAAGGCGAGGGGATAACGCAGTTGGTCACAAAGTAGGTCTACATTTTCTAGACGTGCTGAAAATAAATCGCCATCGCTAACCAGTTGATATTGACAGATGTGCCGAGGACGAGAAATTCCTCTTGGCCTACATCATTTTTAAGCTCCAGCTAGTCAAGGGCAAATGTATAATATTTGTCGGCGATATCGACCGATGCTACCGATTGAAACTCTTTTTTGAGCAGTTTGGCATCAGGAGCTGTATTCTAAACTCAGAATTACCCGTAAACTCAAGAATCCACGTCGTGGAAGAATTCAACCGCAATGTTTATGACATCATTATTGCTTCAGACGAGAAGGAGGTTCTTGGGAATGAAGAAAAAGCCGACGAGGAAGAAAACAATGAAGACGAACAGGAAGAGGATTCTGACGCGGAGAAGGAAGAACGACGACCCAAGAAGAAGCGCAAGGCATCCAAACGAGACAAGGAATACGGTGTCTCTCGAGGTATGTTTTGAATAACCCCGACGAATGCATTCACCGCCACCATAATTCGTATTCATACTTACCAACACGACGCGCAGGTATTGATTTTAAGAATGTGGCTGCTGTCATCAACTTTGATCTCCCAACATCCGCTTCGTCATACACCCACCGTATTGGGCGAACCGCACGGGCTGGCAAGGCTGGCATGGCGTTGTCATTTGTTATTCCCAAGGAGCAGTTCCGGAAACACATGCCTACATCGATTCAAAGTGCAGAGAATGATGAAAAGGTTCTGGCGAGAATCACGAGGCAACAGGCCAAGAAGGGCAAGGAAATCAAGCCCTACAATTTCAACACCAAGCAAGTGGAGGCCTTCCGATATCGCATGAACGATGCTCTGCGTGCTGTTACCAAGGTGGCAGTTCGCGAGGCGCGAACCCGGGAATTACGTCAGGAGCTAATGAAGAGCGAAAAACTAAAGAGGTGAGATCCCCATGTACTCCAGTGAGGTGCCGCGATGCCCGGCTCTAACATGAATGCAGATACTTTGAAGAGAACCCGTCTGAAATCAACCACCTCCGTCATGACGGTGAATTGAGAACTGCAAGACAGCAAGCTCATTTGAAGCACATTCCAGACTACCTGTTACCGAAGGATGGCAAGAAGGACCTTACAGAAAATGACATTGGTTTTGTGCCGTTGAGAAAGCCTGGCAGCCTACGTGGCCATCGAAAAGGCAAAGGCACGAAACGGGGCGGGTTCAGGGTTGGTGCTAGAAAAGGCGATCCTCTCAAGACTTTCAAGGCAAGGCGAAAGACGAAGTGATGCAAGGTACGACTTGGGACTTGCCCAAGCATGCATGCGGTAGGTGATCTAGGTAGGGAGCAGTCACGGAGCACGTTGCAGTAGCCAGCGTCCATGAACCACGGCGTCTTCTGGGTTTTAAATTGCCGGCGCCAATTGTGTCTAGTGAATGGTGCCGAGTTGCCGTTGATAGCGCGCCACTCTCATTGATGAAGTACGGAGTACTAACAAATGTTGCAATATTCACGTCTGTCATAGAATAGTACATTTACTGACCTATGTACAAAGGCAATATGTACAGTCGGATAGGTACGGAGTAGAATCAACGAGCCTCTACACCTTCTGGAGTAATTTGCATGCCAATGACAGACAGCAGCATAATAAAATAGTACCTGATCATTGCTCCAGTTCGTATTTTTTTTTCCGCCGGCGTGACATCGTTGAACCAGTTTGCGGCGCATCTGGGCCATGCCAGGGATGGCAAGGCCTTTGAGCCTTTGAAATTGGGAACGAGGCCGGCCCCACATTGTATTGCTAGCATCTTAGCTTGGCGGGCAAGAGAGGTTTGAAGGTATATACCAAGTACTGAGCAGACATGATGGGTGACGAGCGAATAAAGACACAACTTTGAGACTTCTAATTTGCTAGGAAAATACTATTAAAGTTTCACACACTAAATCTATACATAGACGGATTTCTGTTTAAATCTATTTATTTACTCATTTTTGCACCCAGCGCGCGGCGAGTATCAAGGTACCAACCAGTACGGAGTATTACCTGGGCACATCCCCTCCCCACTCGCCCCCCTGTGCCGTGCATCGGCCCCACTATTTTAGAGCCTATTGCAGCCACCGTTTTTCTCGTTGGTTAGCATCGTGAGCACTCTTGATAGACAAGTCATCTTAACAGGAGGAATACGAGGTGATGCGCTGCCGACCGTCACTCGTTCCATCGAAGAGAGGAGCCTGTCTTGGATATCTTGACTGGCTCCTCCTCCAATGCATCCAAATCGGTAGCTAGTATTTCTACCCGACCGCCGACCGGTGGAGAATCTGTTGAGCTGTGACAGCTGCTTGGTTCCGTTGGGCGATGCGTGTGCCAGACGCCACAAAAGACTAAAAAAAGAGAGGAAAAAAAAAAAAAGCAGGGCGGTATTGGGCAGGTCCCTGCATCGTAGTATGCAGGCTGCCGACGTCAAAACAAAAAAAGTTTGTTCCTTTTCCATGTTTCTATCGAGATTGTGCGAGTGATAGAATACAGGTCGGGTTGCACAAATCTCAAGTGCTGGGGTTTCCCAGGTTGAGCACAGCGGCGGCTCAAGCAGGCCCCGAGTGCACCGGACCTATGAGGTATTGAGGTACGGAGTACTTGAGCCACTTCCAGAGTGCAAATGTTAGGCGGATTCTGGTTCAATGTTGGTAGTACTAGGCTCGAACGCGTTGCCGAACAGCCGCTACAGGCACGAACCATTGACCCGCTGGAGGACCAGAGTAGCATTCTCTGGAGTATGGAGTAAAAAAATTGGCACAGTTCTCACCTGCCTTAGCAAACAAGTACTTCGTGCCTGTCTAAAGCCCCACCCGCCAGGCTGCCACACTCGAGTCGTGCCACCCAACGGCACAACCGGTTACCATCAATTTGATTTGTCCAGCTCGAATGGGCTCGAGGCCCTGCCCCTTTGTGTGCGCCTGCTGTGTGCCTGCTGTGTGACCTGTGTCTCATTCCCAGGTCCATCAGCCTCTGCCACTCCAGCTCTCGTTCGTGGAGGCGTCATTCTTCGTTCCTCACGCGCTCAACATAATAAACAAGGCCTGTTGTGTTGTGTCCTTTCGTTAGGTACGTTGAGGAACTCGAACTACGGACCGTTTCCTTCGTTTTGCGGCCGACTACATTCGCTTTGCCTTCCCGTTTCGTTTCGTCCTCGCCGTCATTTCGAGTGCCGACAGCCGCAGCGTTGTGCGTTTGTTCCTTCCCCATCGCGACTCTTGACATAGTTTCTTTGTCGGCGCCGACGGCCTGCGACTTTTCGCGCTCCGTCCGTCCGACTGTCTATCAACCTCGTTCGTTCCGCTTGCGTTGGGCTGGTGGAATGAATACTTTGCAGCGACTCGCAACCATATTCTTCTAATTTCGAACATGTTGTGCTCTGTTGCACTTGCCACCCTTTTGGGCGCTTGCTCCGTTCTGGCGGCCAAGTGCTCCCTTACGCAGAAATGTCCTCAAGATGCTCCTTGCTGTTCCCGTAAGTTTTCCACCCCTCCGCCCTGCGCTCTTGTCTCTTGGTAGAGACGCAGCACGAGATCATTTGCTGACATTTGTTCCCTCCTGTCCGCAGAATATGGCGACTGTGGTGTCGGTGCCTTCTGTCTGGGTGGCTGTGATCCTCGCATGTCTTTCAACCTCTCCTCCTGTGTCCCCGCACCGGTTTGTTCGGACAAGACGACCAAGTTCACAAACCTCGACAGTATCGTCGATATAAGCAAATACTACGGCGATTCCACCAAGAAGGACTGGGTAGCCCAGGGAGAGCCTGCTTCCAGGGATGGAAGTGTTTTGCTGACCATGCCCAAGAACAGTGTTGGAACTGTTTTGGCTTCCACCTCTTACATGTGGTATGGCAACGTCAAGGCCAAGTTCAAGACCAGCCGTGGCCGTGGTGTTGTTACCGCTTTCATTCTGCTCTCAGACGTAAAGGACGAAATTGACTACGAATTTGTCGGTGTCGATCTCGAAACTGCCCAGACCAACTATTACTTCCAAGGTATTCCTGACTACCACAACTCTGGAAACATTAGCTTGTCTGATACCTTCCACAACTTCCACGATTATGAAATCCGGTGGACCCCCGACAAAATTGAATGGCTCGTCGATGGACAGGTTGGCCGCACCAAAGAGCGAAAAGACACCTGGAATGAGACCTCGCAAAGCTGGATGTTCCCACAGACCCCGGCTCGCGTGCAGCTGTCTATCTGGCCAGGCGGTGCTTCCACCAATGCCAAGGGCACCGTCGACTGGGCCGGTGGTCCTATGGACTGGGACGCCGAAGATATCAAGAATGTCGGTTACTTCTACGCCACTTTCTCCGAGGTCACCATGGAGTGCTACAATGCTAAGAGCGCTCCGGGCACCAATAACGGAAAGAGCTACACCTTCAACAGCGTTACAGGAACCAATGACACCGTTGTTGATGGCAAGGGTGACACCGTCCTCGGGTCGTTTGAGGGCACTGGATTCAACATGATGAAGGACAAGGCGTCTGCTTCACAGAGCGCCGATAAGCCCAAGAACACCGCAGCTACCATTCCCGGTGGCAGCACTGGAGGTACTGGCCAAGACCACAGCGGCAAGTCTGGCAGTGATTCTGGCAGCAACTCCGGCGGCAACTCCGGTGGCAACTCTGGCGGCAACTCTGGCGGTAATTCAGGATCCGGTAATTCGGGCGGTAGCAGCAGCAGCGGCTGTGAAACCAACACCTTCAACCAGGATTGTGGCAGTGGCAGTGGCAGTGGCAACAGCGATAAAGGCAAGAACAGTGGTACCAGGGCGAGCGCTAGTGCACTGGCAATGATTATTGCTGGCTGTGCCCTCTTCTGGCTGTAAGCGCGCAGATGTTTCCAAATAATGTTGGATCTGATTTACGTCTCTTTTCGTGGGAGAATCGGCGCGATATGGCTCGGAAGGGTTTTGTGCAGCATTAATTACAATGCCCCTTTGGATTACTTGTTCTGCTTTCATTTTGTTCTGCTTACTACACAAACGTGTTTTATCCGCGTGTCATTCTATTTACAGTATTGGCATGGCTCTGCCTTGAGTTTGCTGTATCTAAGAGCATTGTTCACTAGCACACACACTGTACGTATGGGATCGGTACTAGTTTGATTTTTTTCTTCTTTTCAGTATTGGGTTGGAGGAGATGGTGAAGGCTCATACAACGTTATTCGGCTCAGAAGCTTTAATGACCCTTGGTCGTCCATTCCTTGGAAATAAAAAGGCCATTAACATTGTCAATTGAACAATTAAGACATATTGAATGTTTGCGGTGAATATCGGACAGTATCTGGGCTTTCCAAGTTGTAATGCGATATGACGCCATCATCCCGAGGACGTATATGTATATTTTGCTACAGGAGCAGCCTTGGGCAGCTTTGTTCCCCTGAGAATCTCCATTCACCTTACGGGGAACCACGCAGTTTAGAACCAACCCATCGTTTATGAAGTGCCGACACTGCCGACACGACTTTGGCTAGCATTGTAGCTACTTCATGGAGTCGGCTCAAAGTCAAGATGAGTCGGACACGGCATATACAATCTTGATGGAAGCCGGCTATGAGATGATTTCTGGCTATGGGCTTGTTGTTGTGGGCGGAGTCTGGGGCAGATCAAGCAGCTTGATAGTAGTTCACATATACAGACGCCAAATACATCTGACATGTCGTGGTTGGCTGTCTCCTAGGTCAGGAAGTCGATGGGATCCCTTGCCAAGCTCTAGGTTTTGATGTTGGCAGAAGCGTGTCGGGACCGAATTGGCGTTGGATACGACGCTGCCACGCGGCACCCATCGCGCCGGGACGGGACAATTATTTGAAGCTCGTGGGGATATAAAAAGAAGTGTTATGCGCGACGTGGCCGAGCGCAGCGGGCCGAGGGGAGCGCGTTTGCGGGTTGTCGCGACTCAAAGGGCGAAGGCGCGAGCGAGGCGGGGCGGGGCGGGCTAATTGGTTGGGAGAGGACTGCAGCCCTGTTAGTGCGGAACACTGGCTCAGAGGTGGAGGGACTAGCAGATGGGAGGTACGGAGTACTACGCCACATAAGCCACGCCGCGCCGGACAGGGCGCCATCGGATGAATGCACCTGGCCGTCAAAGGACGAGGCTTTTATGTGGGTGACAAGTGACGAGTAACGAGTGACGAGGCGCGCCGTTGGCGAACGGAAGGCCGACAAGTTTAGAGATGTGATGACGGAGGATGCGGATGGTGTCGAGAGATAAATATGCATGGTCGTCCTCACTTGGCGATTGTTTCCATTTTGTTTTCATCATCATCATCATCATCATCAGCACTACACAGTAGACCACTCATCCAGGCAGAAATCGCAACTACATCAGCAAATACACAAGGTATTCCTGGCTACGCACCACAAGCACCCATTCACAATGAGCACTAGTACGCAGACGATTGCTTTCATTGGCGCCACCGGCGGCTGCGGCCTCTCCGCGCTCAAACGCTCCGTCGCCGCAGGCTACACATGCGTCGCTCTCTGCCGCACCCCGGCCAAGTTGGAAGCCCACTTTCCCGACAAGCCAAGCAACTTGATACTCAAGCAGGGCAATGCCCACGACGCCGCCGCGGTGGGCGAAGTGCTGCTCAGGCCATCCGACCCCGCGGCCATGGTGGACGCGGTCAGCTTCTCCATCGGCGGCAGCGTCAGCGCCAGCCTGACCATGGACGACCCGGACGTCTGCAAGAAGGGCGTGGCGGCGCTGTTCGAGGCCCTCGGCGCGCTGCGGTCGCGTGGCGTCGCCGGCAGGCCTCTCCTGGCCGTCATCAGCACGACGGGAATCTCGGCGCACGGGCGGGACGTCCCCCTGCTTTTTGTGCCGCTGTACCACGTCGGCCTCAAGGCGCCGCATGCCGACAAGAGGGTGGCCGAGCAGGCGCTGTTTGGCAGCGGCGAGCGGTTTGTCCTGGTGCGGCCGAGCCTGCTGCTGGACGGGGAGAAGCCGGACAGGAAGATCCGCGTGCACGTCGAGAGCGAGAAGGGCGTCGAGCACAAGGAGGTCGGATACTTCATCTCCCGGGAGGACGTTGGCCGCTGGATGTTTGAGAACCTGCTGCAGGACGCGTGTCACACGGAAAAGTATGAGCGCAAGGCGGTGGGCTTGACTTGGTAGGCAGGGCTAATGGAGAGGGTATTGTAATATATACCTAGGTATGCATGGATGGGATGGCACTGGGCAATTTCGTCTCGTCTTCTTCTTCTTCTTGTAGCGGGCGTTTTTGGATGGGCTTGTTCTTCTTTGTTGGACTGAACCATGGATCGATGTCAGTTACGGATCATTCCGTGGCGCAGCTAGTACTTACTCTCCGTAGATGGACGAACCGTAATGAGCTGTTTGAACACCTGGGGATGTTGGTCCTCTTTTTTGAGTTTGACTTGGCTATTGCAACTGGATGAAGGGTCTTGGCAGGGGGTGCTTTCCTCAGTGAAAATGCGTGGCGCCGTCTGTTTGAGCTGTTGCCCAGAAGCGTTTAATGGAAGATTCATTCTAAAGTTTGTATGAGTCAGTGGTCTTGCATGACCATCTAGGCCCCCTTTTCTTTTCTTTCTTTTTTTTTTTTTTTGTTGCCTATAACTTAATGCAAGATTTATCTATTCTAAACAGCTACAAGCAGACTTCGTCTGGTCATGACCTAATTAGCCTGCGCCCCCCCAGTACATCCATGCCTTATGCATGATTCGCGAGACATATGGCCCCCCCTTTAATGTGGCCTGTTGACGGCCGTCGGCAGTTGCGTGTTGGTCTCCACTGCTTCCTTCTTTCCTGGACCTCCGCCGATAGATTAAGCATCAGGTGACGCTTGATCCCAAGTTCAGCGTTTCTTGGGACCAGACCTGGCTCGACATCTCTCGGCCTTTTCTATTCTGACTCGGCAGTCGCTCAGGACCAGACTCCACATGCATCCCTGGTGGCACTCCTCCACATGCATCATCCCTGGCGGCACTCCCCCCGCATTGTCGCACATCTCCATCTTCACCCCTAATTCCCTTGTTTCTGCATCAAGAAAGGCATCTCTTCTTCTTCTTCTGGCCATATTTCCCCCTTGGGTCTGACAATCGACCTTGTCAAATTACCAATCCGTCCCCATCGCTCACCTACAGCATTGGATTAATTGTATATATGTACAAGGCCCGCATTTCTTCAGTCGAGGTACATATACTTGAGTCATTGTGCTGTTTCATGTTCATAACTATCACGCCTTTGGGAGCCTAAAGGACCAAGTACTGCGTTTCAACTCCGTCATGCATAGGCATTCATGTAAAGGCCGGAAGTACGGAGTAGCTGCATGGGAATCCAGGCGCACTGGCTTATATTTAAACTTGGCTGCATTCCCTCGTCTTTGAGAGTCGTCTATGTATTTTTGCTTGTCTACTCTCATCTTCACTTGGGCACGGAGGTTTCTGGGAAATGCCACTCACCCACCCCTTGGTTCATTCATTTTGAAAAAAAAAAAAACCCAAAATCTAGTTCATTCCTTTCTAAATTTACTCATCTTCCTCGACAAACCACCATGCTGACAAGACTTTTTCTCGTCGCCGCTGCGGCAACAGCCAGCGCATTGCCTTCCTGCAAAAACAACAATAACGTCACTCCCGGCAAGATGCCCAACTCTACCGTTCCCTCAGTAGCCAAGCTCCTCATCACCTCCCCGGGCAACATCTCCATTGCTGAATTCGATGGTACCAAGTTTGACATCAAGAGCACCCAGAATGTCTCTGGAAACCCGACCTGGGTGGCCTTTTCACAGCCACATTTGTATGCGGTGGACGAAAACAGCGACACAACCAGTCTCCTGAAAGTTGATCTTGCGGGAAACAAGATTGACCACCTGAGCTCCACCAAGGGCAGCAGCGGCGTCGTCCATCTTGAATTCACAAAGGACAAGTCGCAGATGGTTGGTGCAGGCTTTGGGAGCAGCAACATTGACATCTTCGACATCTCCAACGGCGGCTTGAAGTTCTCCAACGCCATCAAGTCGGACGACGACGTCGGCCCCAACAAGGAACGCCAGGAGAAGCCGCACCCTCACCAGTCCGTCCTGGACCCCTCGGGCCGTTTCGTAGCAGTCAACGACCTCGGCACCGACAAGATTCTCGTCCTCGACACCAAAAAGGCCTTTGCCATCGTCAACCGCGTCTCCGTTGAGCCCGCTGGCGCTGGCCCGCGGCACGGAGCCTTCTTCCCCGCCGGAGCCAACAAAGCGACGCACTACTTTGTTCTTTGCGAGATCAAGAACCTCGTCTTGGTGTATGCCCTCAAGTACAGCTGCGACAAGGGCATCGAGTTTGAGCTGAAGCAGACCATCTCGACCTTCAAGTCTGTGGAGGCCACGCCTGCCGAAGCTGCCGCCGGAGAACTCGTGCTTGCTGCGGATAACAAGAATGTCTATGTGTCAAATCGCTTGACGGGTGGGCAGACGGATAACATTGCGAACTTCCGCATTGCCCAGAACGGCGGCGAACTCAAGTTGGACCTTGTGGGCTTCACGTCCACCGGAGGATTGCGGACTCGCATGTTCAGTGCCTCCCTCGATGGCCAGCACCTGTTTGTTGGAAACCAGGACGGCGCGCTGGGTGTCGTGGCCTTGAAGCGAAACGCAAATGGCACGCTGGTTGAGAAGCCTGTGGCGAGCCTTGATATGAGTCTGTTTCCAGGAGAGTTGGCCGGCCCTGCCTTTGTGCAGCAGGTTGCCTAAGTTTGTGGGCCGTTGTGCTTTTTTTCTTTTCTTGTTACGTTTTCGCTTTCATGGCTAGGCCTTGCGCTGCAACCACTAGTCATTGGATCACTTTCTTTCTTCAAAAAGCATATAAGAGCACGAGTTGGGCATAGCCGTCACTAGATGACGTCCCAATGTTCTAATTCAAGTAAATAGTAATACCGGTCGTTCATTATCCAACGGCCCTGTGCCAACTTCCAAAACATGCCATCTATACACGTCAAAGTAATGCTGATCGGTACCGTCTATGGCTCTGTACTTTATGACCAAAAAGAAATCATGTCTAGAGAAGAAAAGGTTTGTAATCCCTCCCAAAGAAACCCAAAATGCGCAGTATAATAAATCCATTCTTTGATATCCGGTTCCTGCTTTACTCACAGCGTCAGAACTCCCATTGAAAATACTCCCAAAACGCCAAACCAACTCCAGGACATTCTTGCTGATCCTGCGCCGTTATCTTTGTTGTTGTTTCCACTGTTTCCATCCGGACTACCACTACCAACTGGCTTCGACAGTTCATTCACTTGCTGCGGCGAACATGTCCCCACTATCGATGTCAGATCCGTTGACGAATCGATCGATTGTGTCCTTGAGCCGCAGTTGGCGTAGGGCGCCATGTATGTCATGTTGTTTGAAATGTCAAACAGCACTGCCCCCCGATCCATCTTTGTTAGACACCAATTCGAATATTCAGCGCACACGGGGGAAAACTCACCATACGCAGACCGCAAGAAGGTGTCGCCTAGCAACGCGAAGGACGTGCTGGGCATGATGCCCAGGTAGCAACTCGGGGGCAAGCCGGCAACCTCGCGAACCATCTCACTGTACGGAACTCGGATGGTGACGCCGTCAAAGTTAAAGTCCAGGCTGCCGTTCTTGCTGGCCAGGCCGCAGTCCACCGTGTAGAGCCCGCTGTCGCCCAAGGCCCGGGCGCCGACTTGCCTGGCGATGTCGTTGGCCAGCCGGGGCGGCAGTAGCGTGAGGGTGGCGCCCGTGTCCATGAAGACGGGCATGGTGGCGCCCGTCAGGTCGGCCGTCCTCCCGGACTCGGGTGTGTGCTGGACCGACGTCAGATTTATCCAGAAGCGCGTCACGCCGTCGGGGGACTTGTTGCCGGGGATCAGCGGCAGCGGCGCCAGCCTGCCCGAGAACTTGGCCGTGTCGACGCCGCCCATGACGACGACGCCGGCTCGGTCGGCCTTGCTGCCCAGCGCGACGCTGTAGGCCTTGGTCTTGGTGATGCCCTGGTCTGCGAGCTGGTCGACAAAGTTCTTGTAGCCCGTGTTAATGCCGACGCCGTGCCCGATGCCCAGGATGCCCGAGAACTGGTCCTTGGTGGATTGCGCCACGCCGAACTGCACCTGCTTCATCTGCCGCGAGTTGACGAGCGCAATGTCGTCGAGGAAGTAGGTGACTTGGGCGGAGCCGATGCCGTACCGGAGCTCCGTACTCAGGTTGCTTCCTTTCGACGACGAGGACTGGAGGGGGTTGTATTGCCCGACGGCCTGGCAGAACCGGTTGTCCGCGGATGCGGGGAGATTCGTGCAGTCCGGGTTGACCCAGAGCTCGAACGACCCCGTGTCGAGTTGCGCAAAGACTTTTTGAATGGGATTTCCTATGTTGACTGGATTTTTTTTGGGTCGGGGTCAGTGGCTTGCTGAACATGACTCTTGTTGTTCTAATGAACAGAGGGTAGTAAAACCCAATGGGAGGACAACTTACGTTGGACATAGTAGGCGACGTCTGAGCGGTTCTCAAGCCGGACCTCGACGTCTCTCTTATCCAAGCGTCTCTCGACATGGAGGACAGGAAGCGTCAGGTGGCCCGGCGAGATGTCGCCGTCGGGAGGCCCTTGCTTGGGATCTTGCTGGAACGAGTTGAAGGATGAGTCTTGGCCGTCTTGTGTGGCCTCAAGACTCCCAGCTGCGTCGTGACGTTGCGAAAGCTGAGGCACCGGTAGCGTTCCCACGGACAGGGTCTCGCCTACAACAGGCAGCTCCCTGGACGGCATGGCCGCGACGATGTTTTCCGCGCGAATCTCCTCCCCAAAGAACCTTGATTCATTACGTACTTGCGGCCACCCGTGTACAGACAGAGAAAGCGAAACCACGGTCGAGGTTATCAGAAGAGACACCATTTTGGGGGACACAGACTCTCACTTGTCGACCCAAATAGAATTTCAGAAAACCACCCCGAGGCTGCTCTATAACAAAAACACATGAAGAATTCTAGACAAGACAAAAGAAGGAAGAATGTATTTCTCTAGTCACAACAGGCAAGTTGACCGTTTCCAAGGGCAACAATTGGAAAGCATATATCCCTTTACAAACAGGCAGTCGGCAAACGCAGATTCCGGCAGCACATGGCCGCGCCAGCCCTCGCTTTACAGCCCAACAGAGGCAGATGGCGAGGCGGCAAGACAAAGCGATAACGAACCCAGGTCTCGGCATTTTTTTTTGAAACAAGGGAGTTTGTGGAGGACCAGACGCGTGTGCAAGTGCAGGCCATACGAGATGAGGCGGGAGGCCAAGAGTCTGGACGACGAGAGGCTCAAAAATAGACGTGGTTTGGCTTCCGTCCGCGCCGATCCTGGAGCTGGAACGAAGCTGTGGTAAAGACTGGGCGTCTGGTGTTTTGGCGTCTCAGAATGAGCTCCTGATGAAGGATTCGACATGTTGTTACAGGGGCGCGGCCGGGAAGCCCCCCATCCTGTTACAGGTCACCGATCGACCGACGGGTCGACATGAGATTCGACAAGACATTGGATAGAAAGTTTGTTGCAAACCGACCCCAAGCTATCGTTCGTCCGGACGAGCGGGGGGAGAGAGTCGATTGTGTGGTGTTTTTGCTTCTGGGCTGCAACAAGCTCGGTTGTTGGCATAATAGTCGATAGCAAAGCAACAAGACAATTTTGATCTGGGTAATGAGAAGAGTTGAGAGGAGGAAGCTGAGACGGCAACTTGTGCAGGTTTCTTGGATGAGAGCGCCTGCGATGTGCCGAGCCGGTGTCAAGTACCACCACGGCTTGTCCAATGATGTCGCCTACCGACGGCCTCGAAAGGGTGAACGAAAAGGGTAAATAGAGGTGCTGATCGGGCGTAAATTCTGGGGCTAAGCTTTTTGCCGAGACACCATCTGTTGTTTAATGCTCGTTGCTAACATTTGCCAACACCAAAGGGCAGCCAGCCAGGCGCTCTGAAGATCAAACGACCACTGCGCCGCCACGCAGCCGTCGTGGCTATCAAGTAAGCAGCAGAGCGGAGAGGAGCTGTACGAGCAGGCTACTCTACTCTACAGCGACGGCCGTCAAAGTCTTGGATCTAAGCTGCTGTACGGCAATGGTTCAGTGGCCCGGCGGTTGGACGAGGGATGCAGCTCCAACAGATGCTGACTTGTGTCACAAACTTGTCCACAGCACCTTTTGTCAGGGAATACGAGGGACACGTCACTGAAATGCGTCGAGATTGCGTGATTTGCGCCCATCGTTGAACGGGGCACGAGGGCCAACAGGCTTCGTGAGACCAGATAGATGTTGGATCACACGTGCTTGATGGAAGGCTCATTGATGCTTTCTCCCTTCCCATGATGGATACGAGCCTGCCAAGTTCACATGGAGTAATCTGCCAGCAAAGTCGAAGCACCCAGTGCCCGGGACGAGGTTTCGGTTGCCATGGGATGAGATTCATCTACATGGCCCGGGGGCGCCTCAACGGGCAGATTCATATATTCAGGACCTGGTAGCCCAGAACAGACGTTGATCGTGTAGCAAGTATACGAATTCCCCCACGGACCGATTAAAAGATGGTAAAGGGGCGGGCGGGGGAATTCTTTTGCAGTCAAGGAGTGTTTTCCCCAGGACCAAGTCATAGCTCTTTGCTGCTTGCTGGACTGTCAAGACACATGTATGGAACGATATAAAACCTCTGAATGCATCTCTTCCAAATTAGAAGCAGTGCGAGACACGGTAAAGAAATGCCTTGGCTGGCCATTCGGATGGCTCTCGGCCAAGTCGCTCCGAGGGTAAGGCATTCCGAGCCCAAGATGCAACTCTGAGGTCGCAGTCCCTGGTTTCCCCCATGTACGAGCCATGTATAGAGAATTGCCTCGGTCTCTGTATACAATGTGGGCATGGCGACCCTGCGTGCAGAGAGAGATGATTGATGCTGGTACGGCACCCACTGGTTCCTCAGCTGTGTCGTGGGCCTCGTGGCTGCGAACTTGCCGCTTGTTTGCCATTGATGCTACGACCCTACTCGACGGAAAACGATGTATAATCCGTGGCCGTGAGTCGGTGTTGGAACGAGCGGTGGATGGATGGTTGACGGACCTGCTTGATGAGTTGGCATCGTGGGAGTTTTGGGCAAGCCGGACGCCGCAAGGCAAATGCCACGAGAGCGACCAGTATGGCAGAGAGGGGTTTATGTAGACGGTTCGTTGAAGTACCAAGGAGGGATATGTAAAAGGGAAACTGAGAGGTCGTAATTATCAACATGTTGTCCTTTACATTGTCTCAGGCTGGTACAACGGCCAGAGGGAGTTTTGCATCATGATTAATGACAAGCAAGTCATTCCCGCCCATTTTTCACACGACCAAAGGTTTACGGCAACAATGAACCCTTTCCGTCCCTTTCTCCTTCCTCGCTCCGATGCCGCCATGGCCGCGAGGGGGACGAGTTTGGCATCGTCGGGCTTCTCCCCTCCCCAACCCGCGCATGGTCACGCGCAACGACGTCTGGCAAAATATGAGTCGAATCTTTGCTGGCCCGGGTCGAGCGAGTTTTTCCCCCTTTTGATACTGGTATGAAGCGCGAATCGACAGGCACGAAGCAGCAAAGGCCGACGAACGAGAGGCCGAGGACAAATGGCGACGCTAGCGCTCGTCGCTTCGTACCCAATTGGCACCCAACATTAAATACTTTTTTGTCTTCCATCACCAATCCATCACCTCACCCTTTCAACCACAGGACGAGCCTGCGACCGAGCTTTCGCAAGACGCTGCCCGACCCGCCCCTCCCAGCCCTCTCTCTCTCTCTCTCTCGTGAGAACGGCCGGACCGCGGCGCTTTGGTCCCTCTGCCAGAACTTGGGGCTCCGGTCGATGCGTTGTCATGCAGCGTGTCCTGCAAGATGTCAAAGACGTGCTTGCCAATGGCTGAGCCGCCGCCAGTGTTACATGCTGCTCCGTACATGATGAACATGCTGCATGGGCGTCTCACACTTTCTCGACTCCAGTTCTCGCAAGTCCCCCCCCGTCCGTGCAGGGTTTTCCAGCCCGCCGAGCTGTGTTTCTTTTCCCCTTCCTCTTATGCCCTTGCCACCATCCTCCTTGGTGTCGACGATATGGGAATTGTCCGTCTCTCTCGCCCTTGAACCCCAAGGAAGAAGGCAAACACAAGCATCTTCCATGTTCATATGGGGATCGGCGCGGACAAGGCCGAGAGGGGAGGCGGCGCGCTGCAGATACATGCTTCGTCTTTGTACGCCGCCGCGACGTGAGCAAATCACGCATCTCTTGCTCCTTGGTCATGTGAACGGGAATTGTCCTGTGTTGCCCCAGGGCCTCTCTCTCTCTCTCTCTCTCTTGCGGACGAGCACGTTGCGAAGCCGTTTTACGCAGGCCGTCATGGTAGCAATGCCCAACTTGGTCGAGTTTGGATGCGTTGACACTCAACGTCTTTTTGCGCATTGCCCAAGTGAGTGGCCTGCTTCAATCTTCTGCTGCTCCATCAGGTGCAATCAGGTACATACATGGCAGACAAAGTGCATGATAGGTCCGGCTGGACTTTTCCTCTCACCTGCTGCATGCAGCTTGCCTTCTCCGCTGTTCCGCCCTCATGGGAGCTATCCGGGCCCGAGAAAGACAGATGACCCTATCTATGCAAGTCGCGTATGCAAGCTCTAGCGAGCAAAGGCCGTATTGGCCTGCTACACTGGCGCCCCCCCCCCAAATGCATAATTCCCGGTGAGGGAGAACAGATTCAACAGAATCTGGGGAACATCTCGTCCGTCCCCCGTCCTGGTCCCCCCCGGAGGGGTTTGCGCGGTTTAAAAGGGGCTGCTCTACTCCTCCCCGTCGAGGCTGGCGTCTCTTGTAGGTTGGAGAGGAAAATGCGTATTTCTTTTGTGAGCCCCTTGTTTACTCTGCGCTGCCATTGTACGCGGATGGCCCTTCGGCATCTGGTTGACTAGCCTCGTGTCACACCGTTCCCTGATCCCCCATTTCAAGCACAGACCGCTGCGGCAAAAAGAAACAGGAGCGGCATGTATATCCCGCTTCGGGAATCTCAATCTCGCGCGGCCGGGCAGGAGGCGCATGATCGCTCTGGAGGATTGGAATACTCGCCGCCATGGGTTGCGAAATTACATCACGAGGCCCGCCGCCGGCTCAACATTTCCACGTATACATCGAGAAGGGCATTGAATGGTGCTGCTCTTGGGAAGAGGCAATTCTCTAGTGGCGCCGCCGACACGACCAATGTCCAAATCGGCATCGCACTCGGAATCATTCTGGGCGTCTTCCTCATAGCCACGGGCGCTTTTCTCTACATGTATCGATCCTCCGTCCGCTTTACCTATCGGAAGCATCGCCGCCATCACACCAAGTCATCCAGGAGCTCGTCTAAGAGCACAGAATCGACACCGCCGCCCGCCCCGGCGCCCCCTCCTCCTGCACCAGAGGCAGAGCCACCCAAGTAGTTGGCATCATGGGGAGTTATGGGTATGTTCAATGAGTGGAAAGCTTCTGGTTTTGACTGACTGCCAAGTTTTGATCTGGGGCTAACATGATAGCTGCGAAATAGTTGATTTCTTCTTCTTTTTTTCTTTTTTAACTGTACACGGACGGTCTGAATATACCATGTGGGGAGTTTGTTTTACTTGTTACCAGGAGTTTGAGACGTGGCTAGTTTGAAATTGTATCATAGGAGTCATGACATATCAAGCACGAGTGGGAGGAAATTGGTCTTTTGATATAATGGCATTGTTTGGGTAGGTACATGACCTGAGGCCGGTGCTAGTGGGAGTTGATGTGGCTTTTTCGTACACCGAACATGTAATTCAACTATACGGTGCAGTTTTCTCTATTTTCCTTTTCCCACCCCCAGGTGTTATGCCGTCTCATATCTGATCCCCCGGCAGC